AAACTAAGGCTTATGTGTTAAAAAATACTACAAACTTATTCAGTACTGACTGGATGGAATTATTTGAGTTTTAATATTTACCTATAAATATTTATTGCAAAAAATATAAGTGGACAAGCTACCAATTTAAAGAAACAGTGTGAAAATTTAAAGGAAGAATTGAAAAAATGTTTTCTAGATGTTCTGTCAGATGAGTTGGGTCAGTGTTTCAAAATTAAAGCAAAATTGCAAGTAAAAAAAGGATTGACAACAGCATTTAAATCAAAACTTAGTGTTCCATTTACAGCACTGGATCAAGTCAACAAAGAATTAGACAGACTTAAAAAAAAATTAAAAGATTGACCATTTAAAGTGGGCAGCACTAGCAGTGTATGTAAAGAAAAAAATAATAAAATTTGTGTTGATTTTTTGACAGTATTAAACAGATGTTTAGAATCCCTTAACCATATATTACCAAATCCAGAGGAAATTTTTGCAAATTTAAATGGTCGAAAAATTTTTAATCACCATAAATACACACAAGTAACTGTAGCTAACATCCTTTTGGGATAAAAGTCGTTCCAACTGTATTTCAACAAGCAATGTTTGCAGATTGTGATTTTGCAGTTGCTTATCTGGATGAGATATTAATTAAAAGTGCATCTAAGGAACAACATATCAGGTATGTGAAAAGAGTTTTTGAAAAAAAATATGGATTTAAACTCAATGAGGATAAGTGTGAATTGTTTTTACCTAGGACAAATCACTGACTAAAATGGTTGTCAACCAGATATGCTGAGGGCAAGTGCAATTAAGAATATGCCTCCTCCTCCTCCAATAAATGTTACTAGGTCACAAGCATTTCTAGGACTAGCAAACTATTATCAAATCTATATAACTAATATGCAGAATTTGAGAGCTTTACCGAACAATTTGCTTAAAAAAGCATAAATTGGAACTGGACTGATAAGTATCAGAAGGCGTTTGAAGAAAAGAAGAAAATTCTAATGTTAGATACCATTAGCGCACTTTGACCCAAAAGTAGAAATGGTATTGGCTTCAGATGCCACTGACTATGGCATATGAGTGGTAATTCTACATAAATATGATGACGGTAACATGAAAATAGTTACATATGCTTCAGATTTGCTACTATAGCAGAAAACTACAGCCAGAATGAAAAAGAGGCATTCGCAATCATATTTGCAGTGAAAAAAATTTCACAAATTTATACACAGAAGGGGTTTTTGTTTACAGATGGACCACAGGCCTCTATTATCAATTTATGGCTCAAAAAAAAAAAAAAAAAAAAAAAAAAAAAAAAAAGGAATTCCTATGCATACAGTGAATAGATTAAAATTTGATTACAGGATGGAATACCAACTGTTCAAAAAATTTAGTACATGCTGATGGCTTATCAAGATTGATATAAAAAAATATTATTGCAGCCTTAAAAAGTGAAATAGAAATTAAAAGTATATTATGCAATGTAGTACGCAAACTCCCAGTTACTTTGGAAGAAATAAAAGTAAAAGCAGAACAAGACATTTTATTTCAAAAATAAAAAAATTATAAAATTTATACATGGAAGGAGTTTTTGTTTACTATCCTCTATCATCAATTTATGGTTTGTAAAAAGGAATTCCTATGAATAGATTACAACACTGGGGTACCATCTTATTAAATTACGATTTCAAGATGTCCTAAAAATGAAGACATGCTGATGGTTTATCAAGATTGATACCAAAATATACCAAACTGTTTGAGGACACCGTTATTGCAGCCTTAAAAAGTGAAATAGAAATTAAAAATTAATTATGCAATGTAGTATGCAAACTACCAGAGTTACCCTGGAAGAAATAAAAGTAAAAGCAGAACAAGACATGTTTATTTCAAAAATAAAAAATGACTAAAAGAAAATAAGTTAAATGACTTTTAGAATGCAATCCAGACTTGAATACTTACTATGTGACGGAGTACTGATGTTTGCTCAAAGAATAGTAATACCAAGCATATTACAAAAGCAAATATTAAACGAATTTTATAGTGAACATCTGGGAATTTCAAAGATGAAATCTCTTATGAGAAGTTATATATTCTGGACCAAATTGGATCAAGATATTGAAAAATTATTAAAAGACTGCAGAGGTTATGCCCTGGCAGCAAAATCACCTACTACGTAATTACAAGTATTTTGTGGTCAAGATTGCACATGGATTTTATAGGTCGAATAAATGGATCACATTATCTTGTGGTTGTGGATAGCTTTACTAACGTGGGCTGAAATTTGTAAGTGCAAAAAAAAACAAAAAAAAAAAAACAACTTTCATGGTTACAGTGAATTTTTTACATGAACTGTTTGCAAGATATTACTATCCCTCCATATCACCCAAGGTCAAACAGACAAGCTGAACGGTTTGTGGGTACTTTTAAAAGAGCTTTGAAAAAGCAAATAATGAAAAAGTGAATGAAGAAGCACTACAAAAATTACTGAGAGTATACCGGATAACACCAATACACCGACAGACATGTAACCAGTAGAATTGATGTTCGCAAGAAAAATTAAATGTGTTCAATAAGTTGTTACGAGGTCAAAAAAGAATAAAAATGGATAACAAAAAGGACAAAATTTTTAAAAAGTTGTGAGAAAGCGTTTTTCGGAGTATATAAAAATGGAAAAGAAATGTAGAAAGTCAGTGTAATAAGGTCACAATTTGGTAAAATAATATATATGGTGAAAAGAAAAAAATGAGATCGCAAAATGCATTGGAATCAATTAAAGAAAGGCGCTCAAGAAGGGAAGAACCTATGCAAGTACTGTATAATATTTTTGATGTACCAACACCCCAAGTCTGATTACCAGAAAAAGGAAATTTGCAGAAAGACTAGAGGCTGACCCAAAATGAAATAAATAAAAAGTTCTGTACATTGGTGAACTCACCAGAGGGTGAATACTAAAAAATAAAATATTTACTTGTGAAAAAAAAAAAAAAAAAAAATCTCAAAAGGTGGTGGTGGAGGGGTTGTGGAGTAAATAAGATACTCCCAGTAACACAAAGGAACTGGGCAAGACACCTTAAATAAAGAATTTAAAGTGAGTCAGGAGAAGTATAAGGAGTCAGTTAGAAAGAATTCTAACAGATATCATGGCGAGTATCCCAAGCAAGACTTAATATTATAACTGCAAAGAGCAAGTTATAACAGGTTTACAATCTATCATTGATAACAAACTGCAGCATTAGCAGAGGAAGTGAGATGAACATGAGGTTTAAGGCTCTGAGTTCTAGATTCAGGATTGTCCCAGAGGATTAAAACATTGGTTAGTGAATTTGGTGGCATAGTAATTAGGAGTTCAATTCCTGGGCTGCATAGTATAGACTCATATAGTAGAAACATGGCAAGCAATAACTGAGACGCAATAAAAAACAAAGGAGATATCCCTAGACAGGGACAAAGGAATGAGAACAATCATTATCAAAAATACACCTTTACGTGCTGAATCTAGGTGTGTTGTCAGTGTTGTTGCTCCCATGTCACTAGAAGTTTCAGGGTCTAAATAAACAACAGACTTCTTCAATGGGCGACCCGACTGAATCTGATCAGTATTTGGGCCGCAGCCATAATAAAATTTGCTACTAGCTTTAGGACGTGCTTTATATAAGTTCCCTCGGAAAATGGCAACTAATCAAGACTTCACTAGGGCTGTTCAATGTTATGGATCAGGTATGCTTGGTTGTACTGATCTTCGTAGCTGACAATGAATTTACTCATAGATTGAAGTCGTCGGTCTATGTTACCTGCAGACGTACCTTGGATTATAATGCATAAGTCTTCATCAAAATTGTGCCAAGCTTTCTTGTTGCTGGCTGGGGGCTATTTAATCCGCTTAGAGACTATTCTGTCCGGCAAGGTCCGAGTCCCCACTGGGTGATGATTTGTCACCGGGACCTGCTCCACCTCCGTCTTACTTGGTGTAACACTTATGCATTGTGTGTTCTCAACCACTACTGCACATTTCATCTTGGCCTGATGTAATTTTAGGCGACACTGATTCTTGCACATTTTTCTGCAGTGGCACATTGAGTCAGAAGTCGTTTGGGTGTTTGCTGTGGTCGTAACCATTGTATCCGTCCTACCGGGGATTCCCTGGGGGTATGTATTCCATGATCTACTTGTAGCATGAAACGGGAATCTCTTTACAACAAAAAGACATGTCATTAGGGGTGTGAACCCTGCAGACTCTGTATAGTTGCTTTCCCGGCTTGCCAACTGTCTTTCCAGTTGTCACCAAGTCTTTCTTCAGTCGTCAGCCAGACTATTCCTGGTAGTCACTGTTGATAAAAATGTTGTTTAAAATTATTAAAAATACACCTTTTAAGTGCCGAATCTAGGTGCGTCATCAGTGATGTTGCTCCTATGTCACTAGTAGATTAAACAGAGTTCAATCCTTGAGCTGGGTAGTACAGACTCAGGCTCAGTGGAAACAAGGTGAGCAATAACTGAGCAATACTCACAAAAAGAAGAAGACGAGATATCACTAAATATGGACAGCAGAATAAGAAAAATGCCCCATCCCATATATTAAATAAAGTGTTAAGTTCCAAATTCCTTGAAGGTACATATATATTGACAGACAGCTGATATGATATAAAAACAAAGACAAGGATATTAGTTCAACTGTAAAGAATGTAAATACTGATGTTTTGGTTTATGACAAAAGCTGCTAAAAAATTCAGCTGAACTTGCATATGGCCTTGATAGTTTTAACACAATACATTTACCTTCAAATTTCTATACAAAGAGTTTTGTTTTAAAACAAATAAATTTACTTTCAAATTTATATAGTTTTAAAACAAAGACAATTTTTTATAGTTTTAAAACAAATACATTTTGAAATTTTTATAGTTTTCTTTCAGAGCAAATACATTTAATTTTAAATTAATCACATAAATATATACAAAAAATGCTATCATTTTTTATGAAACTTCAGATAAGTTTTTAAAAAAATTAATATTTCTCACCTCCAGGGATGAAGCATATGAAGCCAGCAATAAACAGGACAATGCTGTGAGAAACTGGGGAAAAAGGAAAAAAAGTGAAAAATAAAATTAAAACAAGCACATTCATTTTTCATAACATGTGGGCTGCTCCAAAAGCAATGCCTCCCACTTCATTAAGTTAACCTGTGATGTTAGATGTGGATAGTATGACAGTAGGGGTTGAACCTTCCCATCAGTAACCCGTAATTTTTCTTTTTTGGCTTGTTATAGACAGCAAATGAGCATCAGTTTGTAACATTGACATCTGGCATGTAAGCACATATATAACTTAATTCCACTAATTGATATTGAATAACACTTATGGAGACGAAACAATGGATGTGAGCACAGTTAGGTGATTGACAATGTATTTCAGTAGTAGCAACAGCCATGAGTATGAAAAGTAGGTTGTCTCCGGTGGTGCAGGTTTTATGGTCATGATATACAGGCTCTTGCTTATCACAATGGAACTGCATAGCCAATGAAGGTGACAATGAGAAAAATATAGTGATTTTGTAGCTGAATGCCCTATCCAATGCTGATATTGTGCTCCTTTTATTGGTTGTACTTTCTTTGGAAATATACAGGAAGCATTAATTTGGGAGTCAACCTAATATAACATTCATAGATATATCTAGAATTGTCAAAAAATAGGAGGGAGCTATTACTTTTGGAACATCCCTTATATAACAATCATAGGTTCATCTAGAATTGTCCAAAATGTCAAAAAAAAAAAAAAAAAAAGCATTACTTTTGGAGCACCCCTTATATAACAATGATAGATTCACTTATAATTGTACAAAATTAAAAAAAAAAAAAAAGAAAAAAGAAAAGGAGGCATTACTTTTGGAGCACATCTTGTATAACAATTAAAGATACACCTAAAATTATCCAAAACATTTAAAATATATATATATATATATATGAAAAGTGCATTACTTTTGGAGCATCCCAATATAAAAAATTATAGCTTCATCTAGAACAGTCCAAAACGTTAAAAAAAAGGAAGCACATTACTTTTGGAGCATGCTTATATAACAATCACAGGTTCATATAGAAATGGCCAAAATGTAAAAAAAGATAATAAAAACAAGACATTACTTTTGGAGCATCCCTTACATCACATCATAGGTTTATTTAGAATTGTTCAAAAATTAAAAAAAAAAAAAAAAAAAAAAAAAAAAAAAAGGAGAGGCATTAGTTTTGGAGCATCCCTTACATCACATAGGTTTATTTAGAATTGTTCAAATTTTACAAGTAAACATTGTTCATTCTGTCTAGGATCCATCTTGTAAGTTCTCCAGCATTCTTTAGAGAAACATCTCAACAAATAGCCTTTCTTTTTATCCCTCTCACACCCAGAGACCGACAGCTTGCAGATATACTATTTGGGGTAAATCTCTCTATTTCATAACAGCAACGTAGAGCAACAAATGACTGGTACAATGTTGCTCATATAAACAGCCTTCCATATTGTGTAACTCTTTTTGATATGCCAGTCTTGTCAAGTGAAAGAGCCAAAAAGTGCTAATATCCATATCTGAGAGATTGTGATCAGCTTCTCGATCTATCTACATATAGACATGGGTGCAGCTCTAGTACAAGGGTCTCATGGGACCCTACCAAATCTATGATACGGGGACATGGGGGGCATTCTACTACATCTCAATTTTCATAAGGTAATATTCATATAAAATACAAATTTTAGTCTAACCTAATTGTGTACAATAATGGATCATATGCAATATAGGTGAACATTTCGACAGTAAAAATTGAAAATAAATACAATGTATCCCAATACAAATTAGAGACATGTCATAATCGATCATTTCATCTTAAATTAATCAGCAATATTTAGTGGCAATTTTTAACATCAACTTGAGATTTTTCTTGTTAAAATATTGAAGAATTTTAAACACATTCAGCAGTATGTATAAAAAAACTAAAAAAACAGTGAATCTTATATAGTGTTTTTTTCAAGACTTAGCATGAGCAAAACAAATTTACAGTTTTGGACAAAAAAAAAAAAAAAGACCCCAGAATGACGTCAAAATCTGCAAAAAATTTCTCATCCTCTAATAGTCAGATGTGCTTAGTTTAATTTGTAATGTATATAAATGTTGGTAGGAAAAAAGCAAATGTTAATCAGCTAGTGAGGGTCACAAAGCACTACTTGGGGATTCTAATCAGAATCCCCTCTACAGTCGGTGGGGCTCAGGGGTAGTACACACCAGCCCTGCCCAGGTGTTGAGAATTTTGTAAACCATCAATCCTGTCATGGAATCCTTGAGCCCTGAACAATCCCTAGTCATGTACAAAAAATACTAATATAGTAATTATTTTTTTTTTTATTTAAGAGTAGAAAATTCCTTTGCCATTTTCCTTTTTTATTGTTTCTCAATAAGATTCAGTTTAGCTTTTGTTTATCTTTCCTTCCTTTTTCAATTTCTCTTCCTATAGAAGACGTGATTGTTCTAATAATAATAATAATAATAATAATAATAATAATGAGAAAAATGTCATATCTTATATATAAAGTACAGTGTTTGTACGTGTGTGTCTAAGCAACTCCTCCACTCCCACTGGTCAGATTTCAATGATCTTCAGCTCATTCAAAAGCCATAGAAAAGTTAGGTGCAGGGAATGATTTTCATTTTCAGATTCAGGGTTGCCAGATTATGCGAGGTTAAGAATATATATTAATACATTATACTAGCCATTATCATTACTTTCATGGTTCAAGGGGAGTAACTCTTATTTTTCTTTTGTATCTAAAATTGCAGTGCACATTTTATTATAAACTAGCTTAAAAGCTGCCCTGTGGAGGACTCTTGGTTTGGCCATTATCACAATAGCTCTGGAGAAGTAGATGCAATAGGCAACAATAAACTACAGAAGAACTCAAAATTGACCACTGCATTTAAGTATTGCATTAATGTTTAAGCTTACCTTTTAAAAGTTCAAAAATAATTCTTCTGCTGCCAATTAACTTAAAGACAGTTTGATGTACATAAACCTTATTTTTATTTCATAGGTGACAGAATAGGGGACAATTTATAAGATAAAATTAATATAGTGTAAAAATGGGAAAACAGAATTAGTTATACAGTCAACATCTGAAGAGTTAGAGAAACATAATAGCTAATTAAATAGAACTTATAATATGGAAGCTATATGAATAAATGCAAAACTGAAGCTCAATTCTCCCACGAATTCTGAGATTAAAAAGCTCCAACTCTACTTTATAATAATTTATACACTAAAGTCACAATATCTGTATTATATATTATCTACTTATAAGCAATATCACTCTTTAAGTTTAACTAATTTGCGTATTGATTTTAAAAAAGTTAATTTCATTAATTAACTGTCCTTCATTAGTGTTCTTTTATTCAAGGATTGTTTTGATTTTCATATAAAAAATAGTTCTGTTTAGGAATGTCATCTTATATAGTGTAGAAAATTGTTTGAAATTTGCATTTTACTTGGCCTTCAACAAGTTGACATCTATTTGTAAAACTTTCCTTAAATATAACAAGCCAATTTATGAATGAATGTTCATTTAACATTTTTGTTTCAAATATTTCAAGTAGTGAATATATTTTACTTTGCAAAGTGATAGCAAACAGGCGAAGCCTGCTAGTATAATATAAAATGGTAACTCTTCACATAAGCAGCATAAAATAATCTGTCAAAGTTCTCCTTCACTTAAACTGTGTTAAATAAACCGTCATTTTATATCTTTAAATGTTTTTTTTCATCATAAATATAACCATGGTTAATGGTGCTCTGGCCATTGAGTATTTAGTGGTATTGAGCAGGGTCCAGGAAAGTGTTTCTTTGTTGAGATGCCGGATCAGTGATCAGAGACTCTGAAAGATGTGATTGTGCAGTATATTCAGGCTGGAAGAAATATGCTTCAGATGGCTGGGCTGTTTACGCTAGAATCAAAGAAATCAACCATGGGTTAGACTCTCATGATGTTGTTATTCATCAACAGCATTTTTGTGGATCTGGCGACACAAGAACATTCCCATGTTTTCAGTATTTATTTGCTGTGTAGTTCACCATTACTAGTTCTAATGTTTAATTATAATAAACATGTATACCTTAGTCTTATTGATTTTTACACCATTCAGGAAATATTGGCTCCTTTAGTTAAGGAGCAGTTTCTGTCATTTTTTTTTTAATTTCTTTTATCTTTTAAAGAAAAAAAAGAACTATGAAAGTAAAAGGTAAGTGGAATTGGAAAGATGGCATCAAACATTAAAAAAAAAAAAAAAAAATTAAAGATTCTTTCCTGGGGGCTGACACATTTTTGAATCATACCTATGAAAGGCTTTTCACTAGGGATGGGATTTAATTGATTTGCACAAACCATTTACTAAAATTATAGTTTGAAGAACCAAATCTTGGATTGTTCTAAGACTTGGCTTATCTTTTAAAAATTTCAGGGAAAAAAAAAGGTAATCTTTCACTTAAATGGTATGAAATAAACTGTCATTTTATATCTTTAAATGTTTTTGTTTTCATGATAAACATCATAAATGTCAATGGTACCCTAGTCTTTGGGTATTTGGTGGTATTGAGCAGGGTCCAGGAAAGTGTTTCTTAGTTGAGATGTTGGATCAGTGAGCAGAGACTCTGAAAGAGGTGACTGTGCAGTATATTCAGGCTGGAAGCCATATTGGTTCAGATGGCTGAGCTGCTTATGCTGGAATCAAGGAAATCAACCAAGACTATCTAGCTGGGGTTTGTTGAGTATGACTCAGACTTACATGAGAACTACCGAACTTCCAATAGTAGCACTCACTACTGGATTGACTTGCGACGACCTTGTGCATAACTGTTACCTTTATTCTTATTGTACTGGTGGTTTTTACAATAAACCTTTATTTATTTTATCCACCTTGTTTTTTAAGTATATATTCCTATTAGCATGGAATATAACATTAATTAACATAGATGCCATTATTATCAATAAGCTCATTATAAAAGGAGCTTATTGATAATGATATCCATGTTAATCAATTCTAATTAATCATGAATGAAATGTTTATATTCTCCTGACCTTAAATATGGACATTGGTTATAGGATGACCATTTCTTTTAGAACCATGTCCCTTTAGAACATAAGTGATCAAAATTCTCCACAGTTTCCTTTTGAATCTATGAAATGCCATGAATTCATGGAATAAATAGAGTTGTGGTTTCTCCTTGCCTTCTCTGCAGGTCAGAATCCAGAGTCTTTCTTCTGAGTGAATAGCTGCAACTCTGATATTTAACTCAAAGTTGGGTGGGTAGAAGAAATAGATACTTGCCTTCCTCCAAGAATATTAGTGTGAAAGTGAACACAACAGGCTCATCTTGATTTTGATCTTGGAATTAGTAAAATAACAGCTATTTGTTTTTGTTGTAGAATATATTCTTAAAGAATTGATCATTGAGCAATCATAACAGTGTATAGGGCCTCCATACAGAAAATATCCCACCTGAAAAGATTGAAGACCTTGGCTGAGGAAAAAGAAAATCCAACACTATTTATTCTCCAGATCTGGCTCTATCTGATTGACATCTGTTCTGGAGTTTAGAGATCTATCTTGATAAACTAGTTCTTAAAATATATCTAAGGACCGAAAGTACACATTCCATATTCTTTTCTTCCACGCTTAGTCTTTTACAAAAATGGTTTTCTAAGACTTATTAACACAGATGCCACTGTTATCAATAAGCTAATTATAGAAGGAGGATATTAATAGTAATGGTATCTGTGTTAATCAATTCTAATTAATCATGAATGGAATGTTTACATTCTTCTGACCTTAAATTTGGACATTGCTTATAGGATGACCATTTTTTTTAAATGTCTTTTTTGATAGGAACTTTTGTGACATTGTTCACATGAGATCTTCACAAATTTGTGTACCGACAGAGGTACAAGATCTGTCCAATGTTTTCAGCATTTCTTTGCTGTGTAGTCCACTATTGCTTATTGTCATAATGTTTAATTGTAATAAGCATATATACCATGGTCTTATTCATTTTATGCCATTCAGAGAACAGCATTTTATTTTACACTGCTTATATGTAGGATTCCCTATAAAATGTAGCAAGGATGAAATCTCACAAGAACAGATCCAAGGCCTTTTTACTCCTGATTGAGCAGGTCTTCAGGGGTGTAGGTATACTCATCATACTTGGCTAATTGCAGGTTGATGAGTCTATTTAACCCATAGTTGGAGGTTTTGAATTCAGAGTTGTCCTTCTCCTAGACTGGTTACCATCCAAGGCTATAGGACCCAGTCTGTCCTGCTATTTTACCCATAGCTGTGGGGAGAAGAGATGGATTCACACCTTTCCCAAGGGTATTTACACGTAAGTGAATGTGACAAAGTCAACTGGGATTTGAACTCTGCTCTCTGATTCCTCAATCTAAGCCACTAACCATTACTCTGCCATGTTTCCAAGCATAATAAAGATAATAATAATAATAATAATAATAGAGCTAATAATAAACATTATCTGTCTATATTTCTGAGATGAGGTATTATGTAAACTATTTACATTATTCAGACTATTGTCCACATCTTTGTCACCATATTTATTACAACGTTTCGGCCGTTGTATACTCCAGACTTCTTCAGGTGGTTGGAATGTCGAACTGAAGCCTTTATTTTGCTCACTTGGGTAGACTGTTCTAGTTCCATGTGCCATGTTTAATAAATATCAGTTATCAGTTAATTCCCCTCTGAAAGTTTTCCATTGCCTTAACCAGGTATTGAACTCACACTCTTTGGGTCCTGTCACTGGATCTAACTAACACCTTTATCCACTGTGCCATGTGTCCTTGAGGACATTCCAACCACCTGAAGAAGGCCGGAGTGTACAACGGCCAAAACGTTGTAATAAATACGGCTACAAAGATGAGGACAATAGTCCGAATAATGTAAATAGTGCAAATAATAAACATATTGAAATAAATCAATATGTCTTTTGAGTTATTTTTAAAAAAATACAAGAAAATGCCTCTTAATCAATGTGGCTGTTCCCAGTAACCATAATGTCAATGTCAAAGAAATTGACAATCTTAAGAAATACACAGAATTCCAGATTGAGTTTAGTTGAATGTGGGATGTTCAGGCAACTATTGTCCTACTTATCATTGGGACATTGAGGTCTGTACCATCAATCCTTTTTTTGATTGAGTTTTTTTGATTGATTCGTTTTTCTTAACATTTTGCAGGTTATTTAAAGCCAAGAAATATTTTTATATTTTAAGAATTTTTTCAGATACTGATTTTTACTGATACAAGTACCACTAAATAACTCATAGCTGGGGGGTGGGGAGAAGTGCACTTGTAGCTTTCTCATAGGTATTTGTGCATAAGTGAATATAATGAACCTGATCAGAATTGGTAGTTGGCTCTTTGATTTCCAATTCCAAACAATTATCCATTACACCAACCACACATCCAAACTTACAGCACCTGGTATTCCCAAGTGGTCACCCGTCTAGGTAGTGACCAGGCTTGATGTTGCTTAACTTCAGTGATCATACAAGATCCGGTGTTTCGATATGATATGGCTGTAAGCGTGTTTCTCTATAAGTCGGTAGAAAATATAGTACGACTCCCTTTAGTAGAATTTGAATGAACGCTTACCTGCATAAGTAATTGCAACTGACAGACCGGCCAAAAGAAGGGCTGAAAAAGAGAGAGAAAGAAAGAAAAGGTATTATTGTGGAAGGTTGAGGGGGGGGGGTGAAAATTTCACCATGTAAAAAAAACAAAAAACATATTTAAATTGTCCACAGAGAAAAACGAAAGGGAAATAAGAAAGTAGATGAAGTGTAAAGGCAAAATATTTATATTATTCGGACTATTGTCCTCATCTTTGTCACCATATTTATTACAACGTTTCGGCCATTTTATGTTCCAGCCTTCTTCAGTATCTGTCTATATTTCTGAGATGAGGTATTATGTACACTATTTACATTATTTGGACTATTGTCCTCATCTTTGTCACCATATTTATTACAACGTTTCGGCCATTTTATGTTCCAGCCTTCTTCAGTATCTGTCTATATTTCTGAGATGAGGTATTATGTACACTATTTACATTATTCGAACTATTGTCCTCATCTTTGTCACCATATTTATTACAACGTTTCGGCCATTTTATGTTCCAGCCTTCTTCAGTATCTGTCTATATTTCTGAGATGAGGTATTATGTACACTATTTACATTATTTGGACTATTGTCCCCATCTTTGTCACCATATTTATTACATTTCGGCACAGTGGATAAAGGCGTTGGTTAGATCCAGTGACAGAAGCCAAAAGAGTGTGAGTTCAATACCTGGTTAAGGCAGTGGAGAACTTTTAGAGGGAAAATTAACAGGAGATAACTGATAACTGACATCCATTAAACATGGCATGTGGAACTAGAACAGTCTACCCCAGTGAGCGAAATAAAGGGTTCAGTTTGACATTCCAACCACCTGAAGAAGGCCGGAGTATACAACGGCCAAAACATTGTAATAAATATGGCGACAAAGATGAGGACAATAGTCAGAATAATGTAAATAGTTTACATAATACTTCATCTCAGAAATATAGACAGATGCAAAATATTTTTATTCCAGAAATAGTTGAAATGATTTACAAAAATTATTTCTTCCTTCTCATGAAGAAAGTTTTCATATGAAATGAACTGGACACTGGAAGATTTTGTAATGGCTCCTCTTACTACTTTGACTTGGACTCTTACTCTGACTTCTACTAATATTATTTGGAGTGAGTGCTAGATATATTTCTTCTTTTTTTTTAATCCAGTTCTTTCTTATGAAGACAGTTTTCATATGACAGGAAATAAACTGAACACAGGAATATTTCTTTATGACTCCTCTTACTACTTCAACTCTGTTACTTGAATTTCTTCTTTTCATGAAGACAGTTTTCATATGATAGGAAATAGACTAGACTCAGGAAGATTTCTTAATGACTCTTCTTACTACTTTGACTTGGTCTATTCCTCCGACTACTACTAAGAACATTATTTGGAGTGACTGCTAGATATATTTATTTTTTCTTCTAGTTCAGTTCCTTCTTATAAAGACAGTTTTCACATGACAGGAAAGAGACTGGACACAGGAAGATTTCTTAATGACTCCTCTTGCTACTTCTGTGACACTCGGATCTCTGAGGATTGATCAAACAAAAAAACAAAGAAAGAAGGAAAGAGTCTACTAAATGGATGATAATTGTTGAAATTCACAGGAAGATGGATTGAAAATTATAAAAGAAAATTAAATCTGAAATGTGTTAAAAAATAAATAATTCTAAGGAGATTCAAACTACACAGAATTCAGTAAGATTGAGCAAAACCAAGACTACCTATCCTCCCCATTTCCTGCTGATGAGAAAAAGATGATTAATGTATCCATGAAGATGTCAAATAGAAAAAAAAAAGATATGTTGTTAAGAAAGAAATCCAGGTGGTCACCAAAATAACATTTAAAGATTGCTCTGAATGAAAAAGCCAGTAAAAAGAAACATTTGGTTTGGATCAACCACCCAGAAGACAAGTGTCTCCACAGAGATAGGAGTTAGCCTAATGCCTTTGTTCATTATAATTTCTGTGATATTAGTCCATAAAAATTTTATATCCAAACATTAATTTGGATTCCTTTGGATACAAGTGATAAAGAAAAATTAATTACTATTTTGAAGTGACCATCGGGGAAAAAAAAAAAGCTGTGTTGATCATAAAAATGCATAAACAGAGAAAAGATAAACTTTTGTCGATTGAGAAATCACAGCATAGGAAAAGATAATAAAGAAAGAGTAATGACTGAAAATCCTTTCTATTTTCACCTATGCCACCTGGAAGTTGGATTTGTTACAAAGAGAGTGTACCAGCCCTTGGAGCTGGCTGAGGTTAGATGCTGAGAAAGTGGGAGAGGAAAGGAGATATTAGCACCAGCTATATGGAACAATGGTGTGAGATGAGACGTGAAGGAAGTTGAAATTAAGGGGAGGCTTGATTCCTCTGACCACTCTCAAAAGGGAGCTGGACAACCCCAAATTTGGAAAGCTACTTGATTAAATATATTTTGAGAATATGGAATTTTAGAAAACAGTTGATGCTAAGGGTGGAAGGCAACTGAACGCAGACCCTGGTCAACCCACCCTCCCAGACACAGGACTTCATATAAGCTGGAGATTTGAACACCTTGTAGAGTCCCCACATTACTGCTACTGGAATCGACATCATTCACCAAGACTTTCTGACCAAGACCTTGTGCCAACCTTGAAGACCAGAATTTAGACATTTAAATTACTATTAAAACAAGCTGTAGACTCCAAAGTGGATTCCAGTGTCATTTAATTATAACAATAAGTGAAAAGTGTTAAAATCACTGTATACAACAAATCATATATAAACCAAATTGTTGTTACATTTTTAACCCAAGTTAATTCTTTATTCCAAAGGATTCTTTTTTGTGTAGCTTCCAGTTGTCAAGCCATCTTCACTTCAGTTTGCTTTATCAGCAATCTTTTTGGTCTCTGTGATCAAAAAAACACAATGTGTCATAGGAGTGAATTGTCGTGAACAGACAAATGCCAGCTCCGTCAAATAGAACCAGGTGCACCATCACAGTACCAGCGACAAACAATCCATGTGTTAATGAGTCAGCTAGATGGTAACCATAGTGGTCTGATGGAACTTGAAAACCAACATGAGGCCTAGAGCTACATTATTGGTGGCCGTTGATGAGGGGGTGGCATTATTGGTTACTGTTGACCAGGCTTGATGAATTAACTTGGGTTAAAAATGTCATACATTGGTTCTGTCTGTTACTTGAATTTCTCCTTCTCTTGTTATGAAGACAGTTTTCATATGACAGAAAACAGACTGGACACAGGAAGATTTCTTAATGACTGCTCTTACTACTGTGACTCAGTCTGTTACTCTAACTGCTGTTAGGAATGTTATTTGGAGAGACTGCTAGATATATTTCTTCTTTTCCTAGTCCAGTTCCTTCTTATGAAGACTGTTTTGATAAGAGAGAAAATAGACTGAACACAGGAAGATTTCTTAATGAGTCCTTTTACTACTTTGACTCACACTTTCAATCAACCTGCTACTTGCACTGGCTACTTGATATGTTGCTTTTTATTTATACAAGGTGTGAACACAAGAATAAATGCAAATATTTAACAGGAAATACTCAACCCTATTTGAATATGTTACTTGAAGTGTATAAAATTTCTAACAACTTTATAATGCTATACCTGGAGCCACGGTGGAGTAATCAATAGCAACTCAGATTGAGGAACTGAAGAGCTGAGTTTGAGTTCCAGTTGAGTTCATTATATCATTTTACAGTTGAAATGGTTAAATGCAACCATAAGTTTATTGTGCCTCTTACATTTTCTACACAAACTGGATGTTCACCACTTGATGATCCAAAGCAGACTGTATAAATACGTTTTCTGTGCATCGACTCCAAGTATACATCTGCTTGAACCAAAACAAAATGAACAATATATTATGACCAGTCAGAGCTACCCCTGCTGAAAATCCTAAACCTTAATTTCGAGCTGATTGAAGATTATATATACCCAAATTCAAACAAACCTGAAACAAACCAGAGTTTGATATCAAGCTGACACATTGAGAGAGAAACACCACTGATAACAACATCAACCGTCAATATCCATTTCACTTCTAATTTCACCACTTTCTCTCTGTTGACTTAGCAACAGTAACCAATAGAAGTTACTAGTTTTTGTATATATGTAAATAAATTGTACATTTATTTACCCATACTCAATGTTCTCTTTTGTTTGACGTTTGGATTTACATTTACTGAGATAGAAAAAGAATTAAACTCTACATCAGTAAGAACAACAACAAAGTTCTGTCTTCCAGGTTACCTATTTCCGCCTGCACAACAAGTTCTATGCTAACAGTTTCTTTTATCACACTTCTTGCTTGTGGAACTCTCTTCCAGCTGCTGGCTCAGCTTTGATCTTCAAAAATTTAAATGTAATGTCAATCATTATTTTTTCTTAGTTTTTGTTCTTTTATTGTTCTCTCTCCTTAATAGTAGTTTTTTTCTCATATTGTCTAACCCTACTTAACCTCTTAGCGGCTTTGTTGCCTTGCTTGGGGTAACATGATTTAAAAAAAAAAAACATACACTTACATGATAATACTCTAGGGAAAAGTATTAATTGTATCTATCCTCCACCCAGCTATGGGTGGAGGATAGATAGAGGATGGACTTGATCATATAGCTGTGGGTGGCAACTGGTCTAGGAGAAGGATAATTATAAATTCAAAACCCTAGTGTTTGGCAACTAAGCTGGCTCACTCATTAGAACCTTGAGGGTAAATAGGAACCCCAGCAGCATGAAAAACAAGAGCTATTAAAGAGTGCATGAACTCCTCAGAGTCAATGGCCATCCACCCCAACTATTGGTTAAATACTTAACTAACCCAGAATTGGCCAAATATGGTTAGTATGGATATGCCCCTGAAGACGTGGTCAATCAGGGAGGTGTTCCTCAAACACGAGTGAGAAGAATTTGGATATACATGCTTAAAAGCTGAAACTTTGTCTATATTAATTCTGTGTAGCTTACATTTTTCTCTGTAAGTTATAATTAAATTGAATTTCAATTAGTATCAGCTCC